AGAATGGAGGGAATGGCCGTGGCGGTTTGTGAGGTGATGTAGGGAAGGGAGAGAATAGCAGGGAAGGATAGTTTATGGGGAGACAGGCCTTGTGAGGAGACTGTGAAGTTTAGGCAGAGAGGCCTGGCGCTGCCTAAGGTGGTGAAGGAATGTTCGGGAATGATATGATTCCCTACAAGTCAGTCTGCCCCACGCGGGGTTCTGAGGGGCAGATGAGACCCGGGGCTGGGAGCGCTTGGGCAGTAAAGCCGGGGGTAGGGGGCGGGGCGGTGGTACAAGGGAGGAATAGTTAGTTACTCAGCTGGGAGAATGGCCGAACGCTGTGGCCCACACGGGCCCTCGGGCCAACCAAGGTGTGGGACGGATTCCTGGGTCCTGTCCCAGAGCAGCTGGGTGATGAAAGGCCTCACTCAGCTCTGACCACACCAGGGACCAGAGATCTTTTCTGCTCTGGAAGGTGGGACTGAACACCTGACACCGACTCGCTACGTTTGTTCATCCTTTACAGCACTTTCGCAGCCATTACCTGGTTGAATTCTTAGCTCCTGGCCTTGTAAGGGATACTACTAGGCAGATGAAATAGAGCCATAAGCCACACGGGGTTGACCTGATGACACTTTAGAGTTCTCCCAGTTGTCCTGCTTTCTTTGTTCTCAAAGAAAGTTGAAAGGTTAGGTTTTATAGATGACAGAACCTAGGATAGAATCAGAGCTTCTGACTCACACTGCCATTATTGGTAAAGAAACTGCGGGAAAATCTTAACAGTGGGAGCCCAGTAAGTCAGAGGATGTGTGAAAGAAAGTATTAGACTGTAGAGATGCCTGGAAACTAAAGTTACATACTCTGGTACAAATTAGGATCTTGGTTCTTAAATTCTCTTATTGAGATCTCCCTGCCTTTAAATAAAAAAAGGGTAATAATTTTCCAGTGGTAGCTTAGTGTTGAAATGAGAGTACTTTTATAATAATGAGAATTGAATACAGTACATTTTATTTTAAATTTGTCTCATCAGATTGAATGTTTTATCCAGACATCTTGGAGACCCGTTCAACTTAAATTGTACAGTCTTTACTGAAGATGAATTTATTAGTTATAATGGCTAATATTTTTTAAGCGTTTACTATATGTCAGGCACTGTGTTAAGCATTTTGCACATATTTTGATTATGTTTAGCACCAGCCATATGTGGTATATTTGTTCTCAATTTTATAAATGAGGAAGCTAAAGAGAAGTAGCTTGCCCAGGGTCATGTAAAATTTGGCATCAAGGATTAAAAGATAGGCATCTGCCTCCAGAGCCAGTGCTCTTAGCTAGTATTCTGACCCTCAGAAAAGTTGATTTAATGAAAGGTAAAGATGATTCATAACTTAATATTGGCTTTTATTTGGGAAGGAAAAAAGACATGGGAAAAACAAACTCCCACTTAATTTTTTCAAATTGTTATTTCCAGATGAACTTGTCCTTTGAATAAAACAATTTAGTGTTTCCATTTCCTGTTTTGTTGGGCATTGTGTTGAATTTCACTGTCTCCTTTCTTATGTCACTCTCCTAGCCATTTCTTCTGTTTAGATGCAAGGCTTTGTTCTGAACAAATTTAAATCTGACATTTTGCAAGCAAGAATATTATTTTTTAGAAAGTAGAATTATTAACTATCATACAAACTTATTACCATGATTTCTAAAGAAGATTGTGTTTTCTTTGAATTGTGCCCTTTTCAGATTTTGAAATATTTAATAATTCACTGGAGGTGTGAAACAGCAGGAGTATCAATTGGAGCATTGCTAGACGGACAGCTAGTGATTTCCATAGAAGCGTTTAATTCTAAGCACCAGGCAAATACTCTTCATTGTGTAACAACTAGTAAGTGGAGGAAGAAAAAATATTGATTTTCTATCTGTTTTGTCATGATTTATGTTAGTTTATTTAAAATTTTCAATTAGTCATAATCTTTTATCATGTTATCACTTCAGGGTTATTCCATAGTTTAAAAACTTAAATGATTATGTAATAGATATTTGGTGATAGATTTACAAATGTATCATACAGGAAAGGTGAGTTGAATGACTTATCACAGGCTTATTTATTTTAGTGCTTAAGGTAAAATTGCTCAGAAACAACCTCACTCTTGTTCTTGGTTTTAACCTTCTCTTTTACAGCAAAATTATATTACATTGAATTTTATCTCCTTTTTCTTTCCTGTCCAGCCTTTGGTAGTTGGAAAAGAGCCAAAAAGTAAAGGAAAAGGAAAATAAATAAAATGATGACTTGTGCATACTTTACAATTATATTGAAAATATATCTCTTTTCCATTTAGCTCTTATTCTTTTGTCATTTTTGCCTATACTCTTCAGTGAAACCGATGCATTGACTGGCCCTGAAATGAATTTTCTTGAACTCGTAAAGTGATAACTTTTTTGTTTGTCTGGGTTTTTGGAGTGTTTGTGTAGATTTATTGAAGAATACTTTGGAATGAAGTTGTCCCATTAGCCTTAGAGAAGTCACCCTGAGTCCCAGTTGAGACTGAATAGTACTTTAGGCTCTACAAGACATTTTTTCAGCTGAACTGGAATGACCTGTCTTCTCTGTGTACCTAGCAGTAAACATCGTCAAGAGAGGTATGATAGGTTGGTTTGCTTCTACTCTGCAAGAGCTCCATTCTGACTGGACAGAATTTTCATCATTCATGAGAGAGATGGTTAGTTACATGACTAGGGCAGTATTGGTCTGTATATGATTATTTTAGCTTGTGCATTAATTCTAATCCAATAAACTGTTACTAAGTTAGCAGAGTTGATTTCACTCAAAGCAGAGGACTTGAGCCACAACAGCCTTTGGTAAGAAACCCAATTCCAATGGCATTTTGAGCCTAGTAGATTTCTTCAGCCCATCTAGTTATAGGGGAGCATTTCTCTTTACTGTATCTGACCTTTAATTATTTTCTTTTTGTTAGGAAAGATGATACATGCTTGTTATAAAACAATACATTACAAAAAACAGGTATTATGGGAAGTGAGACTTTCTGGTAATCTCACCACTTGTGATAATTATTACAATATCTTCTAGATTTTTCTATGCCAGTGGTTAGTAGTCTCTCACCAGATAGATAGAAAGCCAGATTGCCAGCTGGAATTGAGGGATAAAAGAGGTGTTGGGTAGCTCAGCATTCAGTATATATGTTCACTCAGTGCATTTCTTTTTAGTACAACTTTGGTTCTCAGCCTGGAGACCTATGTTCTACCTTTTCAAAGAATAACCTTTCCCCCACCCCCCACCAAGGTTAGGGAGGGCCAGTCCCTAGAATGCTGAGTGGAGGAGGGAATCTAAAGATCTGACTACTTCTTAAATTCATTTTTTCAGCCGACTCTCTTATTTTAGTCCTATCCCACCCCTACTTCCAGAGATTCCTGATAATGCCACTCCTGCGTCTTTAGCAATTTTGTTGTAGAGTTTGGGTTGTTTCCTGGCCGCCTTTTCTGGCTTATAATTCAATTTCTTAGGTCTTCTAAATCCTTTCCCACTAGTCCTGCTTTTCACTTCCTAGAATTTTATTACAGTCTTTGTGTCTTATTCTCTGTCCTTGTGGATTTATTCCTTTTTTTAAAGTATTCCTTTTCTGTTGTTTTATTCAGATTTCAGGAGGGAATAAAAAGAGATGTATATGTTCAATCTGCCATCTTTACCTGAAAGTGTGAAGTGGTGTCTTTAGTCCAAACTCTTTGATGATGAAGAACTATGTATAAGTTACCCAGGGCTGCTGTATTAAAGTACCATACTCTGTATTTATCTGTGTCTTGTCTTCACATGGTCTTCTTATCAGGACATCAGTGGGATTTAAGGCCACCCTAATCCAATATGGACCTCATCCTAACTTGATATCATTCATGAAGACCTATTTCCAAATAAGGCCATATTCACAAGTAGTGGGCTTAGTTCTTCAAATCTTTTTTAGAGGTACAAATTTCAATTCAGAACAAACCAACAAATTTTATTACTGGAATTATCCATCCATGAGAAGCTGAAAGATGACTACATGTTTTTTCTATTGGTAATTGTTGAGGGCTTTAACAAGTATTTGTTGCAGTGTTTCTCAAAATGTATGCTATAGGATGTTTATATGAGTTAGAGAAAGGAGTTATGTGGTCGTCTAAATTAAGGGAATGTTTGTTAAAAAGTGAGTTTCATTACGTTAGATCTCAGAACCTTTAATATGCCAGTGTGAACTGTGAACCTTTAAAAATGGGCTGTATATAGCATTTCCCAAACATATTTGACCTCATAATTCTTTTATTTTATTTTTTAAGATCATCTATTCTGTAGACGGAATTTTGGGGAATGTCGTTGCTTTAAAAATGTGTTCTATAGATTTGTCTCCACTATCCGTCATCTTTGCAGCTGAAGGATAGTACTTTATTACTTTAATACAGAAACCTTAGAAGTATAGCTGAAAATTGGAGGCTGGATGGGGTTTGGAGCAGGTGGGATGATTGCTCTCCTTTAGCACATTCACCAAAAGTGACCCATTTTCAACAACTGTTAACATGGTACTTGTTGAAACTAAGAAAGA